AGTCAATCTTGTGACTACATTTCCAAACTACAAACTAAGCCTTGCATTGCAAAATGAATAGTTTGGTCTATCTATTAAGCAGCATTACCAGCTACTTGCATTAGAAGGAAATGTCTGATTAACAAAAAAAAAGTAGTATTCAAGAACACTTGCTTGAAATTAAGCTTTCTGCTTTCACTGTAAAGACAGCCTAACACAGAACATCCATTAGAGGCACAAGATACCAATTACAACAGCTCTAATGTTTTGCCTTAAAAAAAACCTTTGTTTATGCTGTGCATGCAAAAGACAGCTATCCAGACTAAATGCAACCTTCAAATTATACTTTAATGAGCAGTATCAGTTACAGGAATCTCATTCATAAGTTCAATTGGAAAACCACACTAAAACTACAGGTATGATCATTTTAGATTAACAAATGGAGCTTTGAAGGTGCACAGTTTTGTCCAACTGAATAAAGGTATTGTTCTGTTTGTAATTCCTGGTTTAACTTCCTGTTCTGTTACTGTCATTGATAACTATTTGTGCAGCAAGCACTCACAATGACCCTGAGAAAAAAACAAAAGCTATTCACTATGTGCTAGTAAATCAACTAACAAGTCAGAAAATGGCTGGAGAGAACCAGTCAGCAGAATGGAGTCACAGGTTTCTCCTCGCACTTCAAAATCCTTGTAAGTGGTTTTCAAATTACTGGATAATTACTTTCACATAAGCTAAACACTTTTTTTCAGACAAAATATAGCTAAGTTATAATATAGTGTAGCACGTGAGTACATTACAATTCTATTTTTCAATAAACAGAAGGAGTACATTAGTTACAATTAGAGGCTTGTTTACAAAAGTGAGAGCAGGGACATCTACACAGCACCAGTTCCTGTTATGTCTGCCCACAGAACAATACCACAACACTTCATTATTTTCCTAGCCAGAATAAAAACCTTCCCCCATCTACTTCTGGCTTCCCATTACTTGTTGCAATTTAGGAAAATCACAACCCGCTCTTTGGAAAAAGCAGCACCACATCCATTCACTAAGTGGCAGAGTCTGAAAAGCAAGCTGCCCCAAAGCAAGAGCAGATGCCATGCTAGCAGCTGGTGATCCCAGCAAGGCTGGCACACCTCGGCACACCGAACACGCCAGGGAACGACGAAAGTTGCTGCGGCAGCTGATCCGTACGGGATCAACCTTTCCGGCTGAAGACAGCAGAAGCTCTGAAGTGATGAACAAGGAGATGAAGCCACGAGGCGCCATGTAACTGGGCACGGCTGCGGGTGGCTGCTCACCTCCCAGCCCGCAGAAGCTTCGCACATCCCTGAGCAAACCCGCAGCCCAGCTTTCAGTTACATTCCTGTACACCAACACGGAGCCCTAGGATACCGGGCCGGCCGCTCGAGCGACAACTGCGGCACATATGCGTGGCGAAACCACGGAGAGCGGCCGCATCCCGGAGCCCCGCGCCGCCCCTACCTGCCGCCGGCTCGCTCCGCACACGGAGCCGAGGCCCAGCCCTGCAGGAGACTCCTCCCGGCGCCCCAGGCCCGCCCCGCGCTTACCCCCGGAACTCGGGGCCGTTGTCCAGCGCTTACGGCTTTGTTTCTGCCTGACCGCCGGGTCTGTCGCTTTCTTTGAGGGAATTTGAGGGAATTAACGGCTCCTTTGCTGTTTGCCCGGATCGCAATAACAACACAATAAAATAATACAAAGAAATCATCTTTAGGGACACGATGCATTTACCTTTATCTTCGGATTAATCATTTATAGAGCAGAGATAAACAACAGCCTTGACCTTACAATCTTATTTCTTACGGGAAAGCTCGTTCAGGGCCAATTAGATACATACTTACACAGACACGCTATGCCAGGCAGTACTTGGCAGCTTCTGGACAGGGGATTTACCACCAGCCCAGCTTTCTGGTAGAACGTCGTGAACACATGGCATTTCTTCTCTTTTAGTGATTCACACCTATCGATTTTTCACATTCACTTCTCCTCCACATCTTTCCTTCAAGCTGACCGGGACAAAATTCTGTTTGAAGCTACAGCTGAGCACGAGCACAGTGACAGGGAAGCACCAGGGAGGAAGCAGCTTCTCCTCCAGAATACCTCAGCAGGGCTGGACGCTGACGGGAATTCATCCCTACTTGCACTGAGCTGGACCGGGCGTTCCTCCAGCACAGCCAGTCACTGCAGCCCTTCCCAAAGGCTTCTGCTGTCCTTTCAACAGAGCAGCATCCTCGAATTCAGTGTGGGGCCCAACAGCCACCACTGGGACAGGCAGTATTGAAAAGAGAAATGGGAGGAGGACTAGACTGGCTCTGCTGTATCACACCCATAGGACTGCCCATCACTGGTCTCCTTTCCATTGATTCTGTACAGAACCACAGAACCCATCCCTTCCTATGTTTATACAGTTTGTTACACCATGTTGGCACATTTAATATTCACAGCAAGCACATATCTTACAGCTTCCAGAAATTCCTAAATAGCTTCTCTGGTAAGCAAGATGGTAATGACGATGATGTAAAAACAAAATGTCAACCAGCCTTTGGACTGAAGGCCTTACCAGCTGGTGGGAAGCAGTCACAAACCAACCTTCTCTGTGTTCAGAAGCTGCACTGTTGTAGTGCACAAGGATCACTTTTACCAAGTGGACAGTGCTTATTCAGTTCTGAAATTAGGTAAACCATGCCTATATCCTGTACCAGATGCATTCAACACAGAATTAGGTGAAATTTTCTAGTTCTACTTTAAGACCACATTTTGCCCGAAGCAACATTCCTGGCGTGACTGCAGAGGACCTGTCTGAAGATCTCTCATGCTGATCCAGCTGCTGCTTGCATGTGGCAGAGACCCACAGCAAAACAGGAGGTGGCTGAATACAAGAAGTGCCCAGAATTGAACACTCAGAACTTCTCTGAATCTTAGAAGCTTGGGTTTTTTTGAGCATTAAGAAGAACCACACACATACACACAAGTGTCCTGGAAGCGTGTGTTGTTACTAAATGACACCTTCAGGTCCCCATGATCATGGCAGAATATGGCACAAGCTTCTGTGCTCAGCACAGACTGAGAACTGCTGCTTTGTGAGTGGGACACATTGGAGAAACAACCCGAAAGAGGAAGTGGCCGCAGGCGTGCGTGTGACTGACACTGGCTGTATCACCTGTCCCCATCTCCTTAGCACTCTTTCTCTTCCTGCTTTCCCACCTAAGATTGCTGTGAATCATAAAATGAACAGAAACACTGCCAAGGTCCTGAACAGCTTTTGCTACTCAAAAAGAGAGAAGAGAGAATGCTTTCATGGAATTCCTGCGGAAGTCAACCTTGTTGCAATTCCTGCAATCTTTATCTACATCTGTTCTTAAAGAGTTTCTTCTATCACACAGCATTTCAGAACAGCAATCTTATTAACAAGTATATTACCTTTCTTCTTTTTATTCTTAGAAAAGGAACAAAAATAAACACCCCACATAGCACTGTGGGAAAGCATCAGCCCGTAACAATTCCTATTTAAGTCAGAGCTGGTCCTGCTTTGCAGCCACAGCCAAATATCCATGCTTGGTTGGCTTCCATGCACCAATAAAAGCGGGCACTTAGGCTCTGGTGGTGCTGTAAATGTACACAGCTGGTGCACACTTCGCAGATGTTGCATGAATGCTCAGCAACACGATTTTCAGGGGTTTCAATTTTTAACGCCCAATTTTTCAGGAATGGTCAACTGGAAGTTATTCAAACAAAGAGCATTAAATGCGATGCTCAACCAAGGAACAACAATAACCCCTGTAAACACATTTCCCTGCAGTACCTTGCTCTGTTACAGACAGATCTTGTACATCCTAGAGCTAAAGTGCAGCCTGGCCTCCAGCAGCCACACAGTGTCAGGATTTGCTATGCAAAATGTGCCACCTGGGAAAACCACCATGGGAAGAAACAGCAGACATGACCTCCTGGCCTATGAACTGGCCTTCACAGTGACCTATGGAAACATGAGCACGTACTATAGATTTTTCTCATAGGAAAAATTTATTAAAAGCATGTTAATTATTTTCTAGACCAATGTACCAGCATGAAATCTGGAATATCAACAAAATGTTTTTTTCTGGAAAGTAGCTCCATGCAATAAGGAAGTATGTTCTCTAAGTTCTTGTCTTCCTGCACATAATACACAAACACACTGATAACCACGCACACCTACGTTACTTGCAGTACACACAGATGCTAGCTTGCATTTTTATCGCTAACATTTTATGATTATGAAAACTGATGTGACCATATGAATTCCTCTTGCTAATAAAGCAATTCAAATACCAAGTCTGAGCTGACAGCACAGAGGTGAGTGTCCTTACTGATGCCTGACTCAGCATCCTGAAACCCAATGATTCATTTTTACTGCAGAAAGATTACTTTTCCTCACAGAGTGCTTTCCTACTTCCTCACTTACGTATTTTCACACTGAAGGTAAGCAGTGCTCACAACAAGTTGAGGAGTTCAGGCCAAGGACCTGGCGGCTCTCAATCACACATCAGTCTAAGTTTTCATTGCTCCTCACACCAGACACAAGCAGATGACAAAACAGAACTTATTTCTAAACCAGCGTACCACGGCCTCGTGCCCTCGCTGCTGGGGTGTGTGGGCATCACTTCTCTCCAACGAAAAGATTTTTATTCGTGTCTGCACGCTGCCTTAGGGAAGTGGAATAAGAAGATAAACTCCCCGAAGCCTGACTCCCCGATTTTCAACCCACAAAGCCCTGCCACGGAAGGAGAGGGCTCAGAACTGAACACAGCGCTGGGCGAGAACAGCGCGCAGCCCTCAGCCGCTCCCCTCACCCAGCAGCGCCGCCCCACTCACACACGCACACACGGACCCGGGCACGGCCGCTCGCGCGCCTCCTGCAGCCGAAGGAGGGGGAGCGCGGACGGAGCGCGGAGCTTCGCCCCCGTCCCGCCGGCGGCACCGGCAGCCGCCGCCCCGCCGCTCCCCGAACTTCGCGGCTCCCGGAAACGGCAGCGCGGCGTCCACAAGCAGACATGAGCGAGTTCGGGGCCGGCGCGGAGCTGCCGGGCTGGGTGGCGGACAACCGCAGCTGGGGCGGTAAGGGCGGCAGGTACCGCGCGGAGCGCTGCGGGAAGGGGGGGGGGGCAGCGCGGGGCCGGGGCGGCAGGTGGTGTCGGAGGTGCTGGTGGGGCTTGGAACGGGGGCACGGGGGCGGCCGTGCCGCTCGCAGCGCCGCGGGGTGTCGGCGATCGCGGGGTGCGCGCTCCCGGCCGGGTGCCATGTTTTAAACGCGCTTCCTCCGTCTCGCAGAGCTCTTTTCCCCCGAGGAGTCGCGCGCGGCGGCACCTGTAGGGTTCCTGCAGGAGCTGCCCAGCTACCGATCCGTGCGGAGGCGCCGGGCCGCCGGAGATGTCCAGGAGTGGCCGGGGAGCCTGCAGGGAATCGGCGCTGCTGAGCTCCGGGGGCCGCAGCCCGAGGGAGAGGAGCGCAGGGTCGGGCACCTCTGGGAGCTGCCCACGAGCATCGCCGAGAAGAGGATAATAAGGTTCTTTACGTTTGCTTTTCTCTGCGCTTTTAAATATGACCTGCACCTAAAGGAATGTAGCACGCGTGAGATGAAAGGCAGGCACAGAATGGGGCTTACTTGTCCCTGCGGGGCACTGTTTTGAGAAGTTGCTCAGTCTCTTCTGTCAGGAACCCGTCGCGGCCCCACCTGCAGCAGTGTGGCTGCCGGGAGCCTGACTGGGTGAGGGAGTGCAGCGAATGGGAGGAACACGCTCACAACGAGGAGCTGACCTGCTGCAGATGGATGTGTTTCTTGCTGGCTTCTTCCTCTTGTCTCAAGAGTTTGTGCTCCTAAGGGTTCCAGCAGCTGACCTGTCACTGCGAGCAGCCCAGCCTCCTCGTCAGCTCTGAGTACTGCTGTTTCCTTTCTTCCTTGCATTGTGCTCAAACACAGCGTGCTCTCTATTGTGGAATTGATAAGCGTGAGACAGCTTTTTAAGACCATTTTCTCCTTTCACATCCTGTAAGCTCTTCTCTGCTGTGAGCAGTTCCTGCCCCTCAGCATAGCTGTCAGAGGGCTGTATTTCTCACTTGTGACTTCAGCTGTCTCATATCTTACTACTAGGCTCAGAGCTCTTGAGAGCAGAGGGTACATCCGTTGTCTTTGCAACATCCCCATCCAGCCACATTTGGACCTTAGGTCTGGTGCTTCACAGTTGTGGTTATGAGCTGGGGGACAGGTGGAAGTACAGCCCTCCAAGGAGCTGTACATCAAACAGTGTTTGGTGCTCCACAGAGAACAGGAACAAATTGCTTGCAAGAAGAAAGCTGGTAGAGTGGCTGGACTTAGCTAAGAACTACAGACTGCTTTTAGAGTCAGGCCCAACTCTCTGTAGATGCACAAAATGCTGCAGAAGTTCTGTGTCTCAGTGCACTGAATTTTACATAAAGTTGGGTGCTCCACTCCTCAAGAAGCGGAACTGCAGTTCTGTGGCCATGGTGCTCATCAGGAATGAAGTTGGGATATTCTGAGGTGGTTTATGATCTTGTAGCACCATGGGATTCTGATAAGGCCTCTTGGCACTTCAGGGATCATTAATTGTGCCTGTATTGTACAGCAGCTGCCAACACAGCATGCTTAATATAATAAATGCTATGAAAGCTGAACACTCAGTGTCTGGAACAAATATGCAGCCCACGCCTTCGTTTAAAATGCAGCACAAACACAGGCCAGACAGTTCTCCAGAGAGTTTGTTTAAAACATTACATGCTGTAGCCTGTAGTTTCCATAGAATGGAATCTTTTGTGAGGAGCTGTGTTTACGATCATGTAGTGGCGTCATCTGTTGCATTGTTTGATTGTTGCAAGCAGGGTTTAACGTGGATTCCTGCTCAAACACTGATTTCACCTTAAGCTGAGAAGGACGGTATCAGCACAGCGCGTGGTAGTAGCGGTGCTCCTGATGCTGTATGCAGGCAGCTTAGTGCATCGCTTGCACATGTACCAAATATTCTAAATTGGAACCTTTGTTTTCTCCTGCATGGCTGCTGCCTCCTGGGTTCCTAACAATGCCTTTCTTCAGCGCTTGCTGTGTACAAGTCAGTGGTCAAGCTGTGCTTCTGGAGGAGAGTTGACCATCTTAAAAGAAAAAAATGCAAATACGAGCCACTCAGAATTTTCCTTGATGCTGTTGCTGGATACCAGTTTGTAAAATTGAAGTACATATATATGTTACAAAAAACACTGAAGAAATTATAGACTATCGGTGGGTCATTCTTGGAATTTGTTGGCAACTTCTGAGAGCAACTTATTCTTAGATGCCAGTATGCTGGCAAGGAAATTTCAAACTCACTGAGCTGGCACTTTATAGTGAATTTTAGGAAAATGGAATGATTAAAAATTGATAATAGGGGTAGCTAGCATATGTTACTGCAACTTCTAGTGCTGACATCTCTCTGAAGGCACCGTTGTGCTTGGTGCTGCTACTTGTGTTGAAAAAGTCAGTAATTGTATTTCTTATCTCCTAGGGATTCTCAGCAGTCTGATATAAAATATTCTTCTGGGTGGAAGCAGTGGAAAAGAACTAGTAGTAAATCATGGAAAAAAACTCTCAAGGATATCAAACAGTTGTCATCTTACATGCAGCTTTGGCGGCGTGATATTCACAGCATTGAAGGTATTCACCTTCTGTTGGTTTCTCCTCTTTCAGGTTGCTTCTGTTATTAGTGGTCTTACATGTGTGAGCATAGTTTCACATTTAACTGTATGGCTTAAACACTTACAGCTTAGGAGTGATGGGAGAGTTAACTTCATAAAATCTGTAATGGGGAAGGTGGAAATATAGTGGAGGAATTGATTGGAAAGTCTCATTGCCTTTTCACTTATTTCTTAAAGCCAGCAGTACTGAAAATTAGCTTTTAATAATGTTTCTTCACTATTATTATTTTTTAAATTGTTTTTGTCGTTTCAATTAGTATTACACATGCTTGTTTTATCCCTAGGGAAATTTGGTACTGGCATCCAGTCCTATTTCAGCTTCCTGCGTTTTCTGGTCGTGCTGAATTTTTCAATGTTCATCCTGATGTTCAGTTTTGTTATACTTCCCACTGTCATCTCTAATTATGGAATTTTCAACAACAGCTCTGCTAAAATTTCTCCACATAACACAGGTAAACATCTCTGTGTACCGCTGTTGTTTTTTAGATTCCTCAATTCCCTTGCCTTCTCCCCACCCACCAGGGCAGAGAAATTGTGTTTTGTTTGTTTTTTTTATTAAGAACATGCCATATTTTAATTAACTTGAACTTGCAATTTAATGAGGATTAGTATATTAGTGACCTTTCCTGCCTTTCTTCTGACAGAGCCTTACTGCACAGTTTACACACCTAGTGGTAATAAGGGACTTGTTTACTTCTATACGTACCTCAAAGATTTGCTCACCGGCACTGTAAGTAATTTGATTTTATTTTTTTCTTACAGTTCTAAGTTTCACATAGCACATAAAACACGAGAGCATTTTACTTAGGAAGTGATGCTTTGATAATTTTGAAAAACAAGAGGCATAGGCATCATTGGGTAAAATTAGCCTTTATCCTTAATCTGTGAGATGGTAGTTTTCACTTCTGAGAGCCCACAGGGCCTAGTTAGTCACACATTGCAGCCTGTGTCTCTCTTCTCCAGCTGCTGAATGTTCCATGAGCTGGAGCTTGCTCCCTGTTGTGCTCTCTGTGTAGGTTGCTAGTGTTCTTGACGCAGTGCTCTTTGGTTGGAGAGGCGTGGAATTTTTTGCATGTGGTGTCCATGGAAGTTTGTTAGAAGTGGTAAATATTTAGAATCTAATATTTAGATCTTTGTAGCCTGCTTGTGACCTCAGCAGTAATCTTACGTTTACAAAATGCTTCGTTTGAGCCAGGAGGGATTGAACAGTGCAGTTGTTGTTATTGTTATTATTCTGTGTTCATTTTAAACTTGGCCTTTTCACAGGGGTTCCTGGAAGTGACAGTTTTGTTTTATGGCTATTACACAATGGATGCTGCATGGCTTAATGTCCTGAAATACAACTTACCGCTAGCATACTTGCTAACTACATTTGCCTACCTTGCACTAAGTCTTTTCTGGATAATCAAAAGGTAAAGATGTTGGTATCCTTCATTTACTGCTCCTGTTGCTCAGTTTGCATTCTTGCTTGTAGGGGACACTGAATTACAGAACAGTTTTACATAGAAATTGAGGATCTTTTGCTAGAAGTTACGATGCCACAGTACCCTTTGTTTGATTTTGAGGAGCTGAACCAGCAAAAATAATACATTGAAGCTGTGTTGGCTTCAGTTGACTTTGGTTCCTGCAGAACCACTCACGGAAATTTTCTTAGAGATTTGTTGGTATTATAATACAATGCTTTAGTCTTTGATGAGCCAGGTTGCCCTAAGTGTGGTGCGTGATTGTTTTTCCTCATGGCTAAAATATGTCTGTAATGAATGAAGTAATGTTGCCTTTTTTTTTAGATCTGTGAAAGGATTTAGGCAGAACTTGGTGCATGGTGTAAATCAGTTTCAGAGTTACTGCAACAAAGTCTTTGCAGGCTGGGACTTCTGTATTACAGATCTAAATGCAGCACGGCTAAAGCATCACAGCTTGCTATATGAGCTCCAAGTGAGTAACTTCTTTAGTTTTTCTACAATTACCATTGCTATATATATATATATATAAGAGAAAAAGAGAAGTGTATAATTAAAGAGATAGTGGAATAGGGGTAAGAAATATTGAAGTAGTTTACACTGGGGACAGGGGAATCCACATCATCTCACGTACTTGCTAGTTATCTAGAATTGTGGTGCAACGTGACAAGAATTGGTAGTGAGGTTGAAGGCCCTTCCCCCATCCACTGGGGACTGAAGCCAAACCCTTTTGCTGCCTGTGTTATCTGCCTCTTCCTCACACTCCAGCCCGGTTTCCTGTATTAGTTTCTACACAATCTAACAGGAAAAGCTTGTCTAGCAAAACCTTGGGCAAAACCTTGTACCACTGGGAGTCAGTTTGAGTATACTGAGTTGTAAGTCTGCAAAGTGTTAGGCAGTTGTTATGCTTAGAAAACACAGAGCAAATCAGAAGCATCTATAAAGGGAGAACCTGAAATGCTTTTTTGCTGAAACTAGAACTATTTTTTTCTGTGTACACTGGAAGCAGAGATTCATGTTGTGAAACAGTGACCTCTGAAAAGATATTTCTACCTCAAATCACAAAGCAATAACTGCTGATTTCATGAATTAGAGTTGCTTTCTGTTTCAGTAAAGTTCAGTTGTCATCTTAAGGGATTTTTTATTTTTTACTTTTAAATCCTAAATCTTTTGCCTCGGTAATTCACACCTTGAAAAAAGTTGCCCATTAGTGTTACTCTTTAAATGGAGTACAACATCAGAAAACAGCTGAGTAATCTGTGCTTTTGTTCGGTTTATGTTGCTCTCACAAGTAGTGCACTATTTTTACATCAGCTAAGCTGAAACCTGCTAAGTTGATGTGACCAGCTTCTCTGGGCTCTGCTTGTTTTTCTGTGCCAGACTGCGATTTTTCTTCACAGAGCAGAAAAAATCCAAGTCAGGGTGGTGAAGGCTGGTAGCTTACCTGCAGAAGTGTGGAGATGAGTGGTCTGATTTACACTTATCAAAGTGTAGTACCAAACTGAGTATCTCACAATAGATATCTTTCTCAGGGAGGTACTGACACAGTAGAAGAGGATTACAGGATGCTTTTCTTTGGGTACAGAGCTCCAGACTAGGAACTAGGAAGCTGACTAGGGCTTCCAGTCCTGTGTGGGCCTGCTTGTGTCAATGAAAAGGCATTTTCAGTCTGTTTGAACAGCCTGTATAGTGACCCTCCTAGAAAAAGCTATAGATTTAGCTTCACTGAGGCAAGAATACTCCAAAGGTAAAAGATACAGTGTCAAGACTTGCATGCTGCATCAGAAAATGATATGTTATTTTTCTTTTGTTTATAGGCAGATTTGGAGGAAGAAAGACTGAAGCAAAAAATAGCTGACAGGACTGTCAAAAAAAAGCTACAGATCTTCTCTCTGAGAGTATTTATAAATATAGTTGTCATTGCAGTTTTATTAGCGTGCTTTTATTGTATTTTTAGAGCAACTGTCTTCTCTCAAGAAAACTCCAGTGTAAGTATCAGACATAACATTACAATAGATTAAATTGGGGCTGGTGATTTGAGCAAGAATTACTGTGAAAGAGTCAAGTATCCTAATACAGAAGCTTTCGTGTAACGGTTTGGAAACACTTGCTTTCTAACTACCTATATTTTTTTAATAGCAGGGAGTGAGAAGGATAAAGAAAGATGTGCAAGAAAAAACAGTGGTGTCTTCCTTTAATACAGAGGCTTCAGATGCCAGTCTGTGCCTTGGAGCTAACACAGCTGAGAAGAAAAGCAGCTCTCACTTTCTTTCCAGTGTAGCGGTTCTCACTCCTCTGATCTGCCAGTGCTAACACTTGTGTGTCTTGGCAGTGATCTGGCTCAGGGAATGATCTGGATAAAACAAACTTAATTATCGTCAGCTTTTTGATCTAGTTGATTGTTCAGCTGTAAAAATAAACAGCAATGGAAGGCAAAGACTACCATCTTTGGTTTGTGGTTTGAGTTACAGCTGTGTGGGGAAACAAAGACTGATCAGGGAGCACTTTGCAGAAGAAAAGGTTCTTGCATCAGTATTGGAAAGAATCGAGTTTGATGGAGTGCTCCCCTCTGTCAGGACAAACAAATGGGAAGAGTGATTCAGAAGTAGAACAACAAGAGCAGCCAGCAGCCAGCTCAACAGTGATTGAGTTCTCTCTAGGACAGCAGGGCTTAAATAGCCTGCTGCAAATGGAGACTGCACTCTTTCCTCTGTTCACTGATGATGTGATGGGCACTGGCTGTGGAAGAGGAAAGTTGTATTCTTGATGGACTTATCTAAACTGCCAAGATTGCGGAGAGGGGGAGGACCAAAATCTTTGTGTCAGCAGAAGTGTTTGAGAACAGAGAAGGATGATAGCACAACACTGAACAACTGAGAAGATGCCTTTGCTTGCTGTGGGCTTTATATGTAAGGGTTGGTATCTTGAGCTTGCCTAAGTGAGTAGTAGAGGTTGTTAATGTGGTGGGAAAGTCAGGTGAGCTGTTTGTTACCTGTGAGAGTGACTTTTGTCAAGTGTCTTTTGGTACAGGTATAGGTCTAAAAGCTGATACCCTTTAAAGCAGAGCAAGACAGTATAATCAGGTGTGAGCCTTGGTGAAAACAGCCTTTTCAGGGAGAAGCTTTGGAGAAAAGCAAGGTTGTATAGCAGCAGTCAGGCTTGTTCCAAATATGAGTGCATGCTGAAGACAAAGTTTTGGACAGGAAAGAATGGTAGGTAGCTGAAGAGAGCACAGTGCCAGAAATACCTGAGTGTACTGCCATCTTTCTCTTTTTTTGTACAGGATGTCAACAATGTGAGCTTCCAGGCTAATCTTTTAGTTCAGTATTTGCCATCCATCGTGATCACAGCGGTCAACTTAATTATTCCTCAGATCTTTTCAATTCTGATCAGATTTGAAGATTATTCACCAGCCTTTGAAATCAGGCTGACACTGTTGAGGTAAAGATATTTTTGCTATGGGGCCTTGGATGTTTGAACAACTTGTTCTTGGTAGATTTGATGTATTGTAAACATTCAAATACCACGAGTCAGAGGTTGGACTCCCTGCAACAGAGGGCCTGGGCACTGGAAGCCAAGCAGGCATTATTTGACTTACGTTTCATTGGAAGCTTGCATTTCAGATCTGGAAATGATCTCCTCTTTTGTTGACAGTACAGTGCAGTCATTTAATGTTCCAGTTTCTGTTCCGTTTAGCTGTATGATCTGGACATCTTCAACAATCTGAAAGTCAGTAGGTAAATTAGTAGGAAAGTGCTGACTGTAGAGCTGTGAATTCACACTGCTGTGTGCAGCAGTTCCCTGATGTGCAGCTGCTATGTGTGCACAGCAACCAATTTTACTCATGTTAAAGAGCAGTATAGCAGTAAATGAAGCAGGGCGTTGGCTCAGGGCAGAAGTTAAAAGTTTTGGAATAAAAGATACCTTAAACTGAGTGTGTGAACTGGCATTTGGCAGGCTAAGGTGGCAAGATCAAGATTGAAGCATATGAACATTGTTAAACACCAGTGTTTGTATTTCTGGTTCGGTTAAGTGCCTCTGAAGGCCTGAAGCCAGCTGGGGGGAATGTTGCACATAAAGTTGTCATCTGGCCTCTCCACTGTACTTCAGAGAGCAGCAGCCCACTGTGGGTTGAGCTCCCACCAAATGAAAAGCCTGGGGGCTCAATTTACAGGACTGGTCTAGGAAGAATAGAATGAAAAGAAAGAACTGTAGCCTAAAGCCGAGAAGGTGAAAGGCAATTTAACCTACTACTAAAGAAAGAAATGTATGTGATATCTGCCTGGTCATTCCATTAAAACTGCTGCATTTTCAGTCTCTGTGCTTCTTCATTGGGCTCCTCTGGCAGTGGAGTCAGGTGCCAGAATAGCTGTGTTTTGGAAAGTTTAAGATTGCTTTTTGCTTTTCTTCCAGGTGCATCTTTGTGCGGTTGGCCAATATTGGTGTTCTGTTGGTCTCACTGTGGACTCAGATCCACTGTACCACTGACCAGTGTAAGGCCTGTGGGTACAATTACGAACTCTATCCCGTAAGCAGACTTATCTTGGTCCTTAATCACCTGAACTTGTAGTGAGCAGATCTTTTTCCATGAGGTTTGGTTGTTTAAAAGTATTCAGAATTGGACTTGTGGTTCCTGTTCGTGCTGTAGATCGTGCTGTGTGCATGTGTATCTATCTGTCTGTCTATCACTTATCTTCCATTTATTTACAGCTGAACATTAACAGATGGTAATTTAGCAGAGATTTTCTGGCTACCTTGAAGTCCATTTGAGGTTGTGTTGTCACTGTCTTTTCTTCAGTAAAACAAATTGTCATAGAAAGCAAATAGAACACTTGGTTTGGAAGCTCTGAAACACTTGAAAACTTTAGAAATGGAAATTATTACGGTTTTATCTTTATTGGTGTGAGCTGATTGAGAAGCGTGTTGCTTTAGTGATTCATAGCATTTTTTTTATTTTAACCATTTGTCATTAGACTTTTCATGGTGATTTTTCTCCTCATACGTTTTTCTAGTGCTGGGAGTCTGCAGTTGGGCAAGAAATGTATAAACTGTTGATATTTGATTTCATGATAATAATTGCTGTGACCCTGTTTGTGGACTTTCCTAGGAAGTAAGTGTCTCTGCCTTTTGAGCATACCTTTACAAAATGATTTATGATTTTATTTTCATTTATTAATTCCCTGTATTTCTAACTAGATTGACAGTTTTGAAGTAAAATATCTCTGATTATTTGAGTACTTATGCAGATAGATGGGTTTTTTTGAGACTTGTATCTCCTTCAGACATCTTTCTGTCACGTCACTGAATGCTTCAGTGCTGGATTTCATGTGTATTAGCGTTCAGCTAAGCTCTGTAGCTTCACTCTAGAACTTAGTGATGTTCTTTGTTTTTAGGATACTAGTTACTTACTGCTCTTGGAAGCCAGTTCAGTGGTTGGGTTTGCAGGAATTTGGAATTTCTGACAATGTCCTGGATATCATTTATGGACAGACGATCTGCTGGATTGGAACCTTCTTTTCACCACTTCTTCCTGCAATAGCAACTATAAAATACTTCATCATCTTTTACATTAAAAAGGTAATAAAGATATTTGGTGTAAATACAAGTAACAACAACAAAGAAAACATTTTTTTATGTTGGTATACAGTTAATTTAAAACAAAACCTTAAAAAAAGATACAGTATGCAGGAAATGAGGTAAAAAAAAATTCTGTTTTTTGTAACTTTCACTTTTAAGAGAAGATAGAATTTTGCTTTAACATAAAGGAATACTTTAATGACTACATAAATTATTTGTAGCCTTTTAAAAAAATCTTTTCTAATAAAAGTAATTTATTTCTCCTTTTGCATCGATCTGTTTACTGCTTACAGTGCTTAGAACTTGGGCAAGATTTTGCCAAACTTCTAAATGTTTGGGAGCAAAATGGAAAGTCCAAGCTTTATTAGATATATGATGTGGTTTCAGCATATCAGAAACCTTGCTCTACAATTAGATATCTGCTGTGCAACAAATTCTTATCAATGTTTAATTCTGGTGAGAAGGGGTGTATCCACTGAAGCTTTGGCAGATGGTAGCAAAAGGCTGTGTTACAGATCATATACTATGTGACTGATGTTATTTGGCTCTCTACAAGTGTGATCTGGATCAAACTTATTCAGAATAAGAGATGTTGGTTTATACTACAATGCAGAGCATTCTTGTCTTTGCCCGTCTCAGTCCATGTACATGAAAGGGGGGATGGCTGCCTGGTAGCATATCTGAAGATGGGAAATACAGTTGGTGGGGAAGTAATACGTTAATACATAGATGTAACATTCTTGCTCCTTTCTTCTCTCCAGATCAGGTTGATACACACATGTAAACCTGCAAGTAGGCCTATCAGAGCATCAAGTTACAATTTTTTCTTGGTGGTGCTGTTGATTGGGCTCATCTTAGCTTTCATTCCTTTGGGAGTCAGCATAGCACAGTAAGTGACAATTTAACTTCTATGAAGTTGGCATTTGCTTTAAGGTTGTCAGTTCCTTAGAAATAGATCAATAACTTCTAAATGATAAAATAGAATACTGTGTACCTGCCTATAATAAAATCAAACTTCTATTTAGTTTATATCAACAAAAAAATACCGTTTTTAAGATGAGGTGCACTTTTACCCTATCAGCAAGGTGATGCTGGCTTGCGTTGGATTATTTTGTCTTTACATTTTGGTGTAGCATCTCATTTATCTTCTGATTTTTTTCACAGTATCTCCTCTTCCAAGGCATGTGGGCCGTTCAGAAATTTTAACACTTCATGGGCTGTTGTTCCAGATACAATACTTGGGTTTCCAATAGGTCTGCAGAAATTCCTTTTTGGCGTAGCATCAGAAGCTTTTGCAGTGCCTTTTTTTATGGTTGCCTGGTAAGTGATACGGAGACCTGATCTCATTATAAATGACCAGTTTCTTTCCTTACTGAGCTGATAACAAACAAATTTTAGACCATATTTTCCATTTGCAGTCAAAAGCATCAAAGCCTATATGAAGTCTCACTCCTTGTGTCTTTACCCATTTATTGTTGTTTGTTAGCTTTATTCCACCTCATGTTTCACAGCCCATGTCCCACATTCTTCTTTCTCGGAACTGTTAATTGTTCTGCAAATTGGTGTTATAAATCCTATGATCACAAATTCTGTTCATTAAACTTCGTTTAAAAGGAACAAAAAAAAGTGAGGAAGGAGGACTAAAATAGCCATTCTGTAAGGTAAAAATTGGTATGGTTTCATAGAATTTTGAGGGTTTGAGGTTACCTTTGGAGATGATCTAATTCAGCCCTCATGTTCAAAGCAGGGTAGCCTAGGGTAAGTGCTTGGGAACGATGTCCAGTTGGGTTTTGAATATTGCTAATAGCGGAGACTCCACAACCGTGCAGTAAAGAGAGAGCTGTGCTGTCGAAACACAACCTATAAAATCTGAACTGGGCCTTGCCTCTACATCTTCTAGAGCTCTGTCCCAGCTTGGCAATAACAAAACCAGCAGGTGCTTCTCAGCAAAGCTATATCCTACTGTATTTTTTCCTCATCTTCTTTTCATCTGAAACATATATGTAGATACATATTCCCTTGACCTGTAACAGCCTTTTTGTTTGCATGGTGCTAATGTAGTGTTGGTTTGTTGTTTGCAGCCTCCTTATGTTCTATTTCATTGCCTTGGCTGGAGCGCACAAAAGAGTGGTTGAGCAGCTAAGGGAACAACTGGTTATGGTAAGATTTAACTCAGTATATTTTTGTACCCCAGAAGTTTTCCTTGTGGCATCCATAATCAGGCATACAGAGGAAGAACATTCTTCCCACACTTCTGCACGTTTGGTGTTCGGAGGCAGTGAAGAATGTTTCATAGATTACATAGGAAAAGTAACTGAAGCACAGAAGTATTTTTCATTCTAGTTGGTGTGCTTGGGCTGCAGCTGCAGCAAGGCCCAGTTGTATCAGCAATGCAGGTGTGTGGGATGCACTGAGAAGTGATGTCCCTGTTCTTTATTTGTCGCGTTACTTAAATCAACCCATCTGCATGATTTTTTTCCTGCCAAAAGAGAACTTCAAACTTAAGGCTTCTGTCCGTTCCCCCATCTTTCAGTCTTTGTTTCCTTCTCCACGTTCAGAGACAGACACCCGACTTCTTGCCCTTCACTCCAAGTCTGTGTTTCTACTTTACCATGGCTGGATTTTTTCTTGAGTACGAGTCCCAGCACTACCTGCAACGATTACTTAAGGTGGAACAAATCACCACTAACCAGTCTTTGGAGAATGTTGCCAGTGTTATTTGCAGCCATCAAAAGCTACTAGTGTTTGTCAGTTTAAGAGAATTTGTATGCTGTGGTCTGTCAAGCAGCTCTGGTCCAAATCTAACCTTTCTCCTAAGACTTCTCACTTTATTAGGAAAGATCGTGGTTTTGTTAAATGCATCTTGTAGGTATGATACTTAACAATTTATCACCAGGGAAAAAAACAAAAAGCAAAAATATTCCGGGTGAGAGATTTCTTAAGAGTATAAGGGATTTAGGAGCAAAAGCCTTTACTTTATTGCTGCTTGCACACTGTTGTTTGGCTTCTTGGAAGTACAGTTCTAAATTTCTAGGTATGTCAGATGTTTTCAATACAGAACTGATAACATGTGACCTAACGACGCAAATGATTTCAAAGCAATTGTTAAAATAGTTTTGGCATTTGAGAGAGTGCTGTTAACCACTAATTAGAGTACTTGGTGATGAGAGCAGCTATCTGCTTCTAGTAAAGAAATGAGTTGTATATAGAATTTGTACATCTTTTTATCTGGAGTGTGCTTTTTATTCTGTCTTTCCAGGAGAGTCGTGACAAGTTGTTCCTAATTGCAAAACTAACAGAAGCTCAGAAAAATTATTGAAAACCACAAAAAGCCGGAAGATAACAGTACCACTAGCTAAGGATAGAGGATCTGCAGCATGTAAAAACAGAGCAGCTGACCAGCTCCGTGATCTGTGTAGTGGATGCTTAACGTTCTTATTAGTGTTGATTATGCTAGTGGGCCTTAGAGTTTCAAAGAAACTGGAAGAAACTGAGAAACTAGAAACTTAGAGTTTCAAAGAAACTAACTGGAAGTTTAGCTTATTTGTACCATATTAGACCCGTTCAAAACGTTGTATTGCAGGGCACTTTATCGCTGCCATTTCAGAGCTGTTAGAGTTTGTGGTAAGTTCCTGGTTTGTTCGTTTTTCAGTTTTGGGCAAAATGTGATTAGAACTGAAACTATTTAAAAACTGCACAGTTTTTATAAATTATACTTGTAAGAATTGGGGTGGGATGAGTGGGTGGGGTGGTTTTACGTTTTCCCACTCAGATCTTTTAAAATGAAAGCAATCGAGACTCGTGTCAGTATTTTGAAATAGCACAGTTGAACACTAGATGAAGAAAACAAGCAGGAGAACCCAGCTGCTGCACGCTGCAGTCCCTGCTCTGTGGTGCCCAGCTGACTGGTGTGCAGGAGCCTCTTTTAAATGGGTATGGCTTTACTACTTGCATTTCAGTTTTGAACAAGTGCCTCGAATACTGTTCTGTGTTCTAAAACGTGAATTTTTGGGAGTTATTTATAGTTCAGAAATGCAGCATTCAGAAACTCGGATGCCACTGTCCTTTAACTGCTTGTTTAAGTGGACAAACGAGCTGTGTGACTCAGAACAATGTTTCCATGTAGCCTTCAAGACTGTCCCTTTATTTGAAGGCTGTTTTTCTCCAGATCGCAGTGTAAAGAATTGTGTGCATTACTTGAAACTCCTGGTAGTACACTGGCATTTAATGTAAGATACTTTTTTTCTTTTTATGATGTTTTGTAATGTTTTCTGTCCTCAGTTGTAAAGAAATTAGCATGTAATAAATCAATTTTAAAATCTAATACCTAGTTTAAAAAAAAAAAAAAGTTTTATTGAACGGTGTAAACTGAGTTGACAGTTTGAGATTTTATTGCTTTATTTGCCTGGGAAGCACGTTTACACGAAGAAGAGCTGTGTGGACGCCTCCCTAAGCTCCCGCTGCGGCACCGCGCGGGAATTGCCTCGTAGGCTCCCGCCTCAGGGGCGGAGCGATCCCCTTTCGTTCCTATGGAAACCAGCAGACGCTGGTCTCGAGTGACAGCTCCGCTGGCCAGTGCGGAGGCGGCGGGCAGCCAATGGGAATCGCCATGGCGGCGGGAGACGGGAGTCGGGCGGCCCGCGGCGATGACGTAAGCAGCGCGACGCAGAAGGCGTCGGGGTCAGCGGGATGGCGGCGGTCGGGGCTCTGACTCCGGCGCTGCGGTGCTCAGTGGGGCGGCACCGAGCGCTGAGCGGCTCTGCGGGTACGGAGCCGCCGCTGCCCGCTGTCGGCCGGCCGGGGCCTTTCGGCTGGACCCTCGCAGCCGGGGCCGGACGGCGGCAGAGCCCCGCTCACCTCTGTCCCTTCGGCAGGTCGCTGCGGAAGGCGGCCTTTCCCCGCCGACGGGGCGTCCCTGAGGCCCTGCAGCACGAGGGCGGCTCCGGACGGCGTCAGCAAAGCCGTCGTAGATCGCATCATCCGCGTGGACCACGCCGGGGAGTACGGCGCCAATCGCATCTACGCCGGGCAGATGGCCGTGCTGGGCAGGTCGACCGCGGGGCCGCTCATCCAGGTGCGTGGGACCTGAGCCCTGCTGGTTTGTGTTGCTCTGCTTGGTTGTAGCAGAGAGCTTAACTTCTTGGGTCTTTGCTGACATTTGGCTCTGTTGCAGCAAATGTGGAATCAAGAAAAGGAACACCTGAAGAAGTTTAATGAGTTAATGATTGCATACAGAGTCCGACCTACTGTCCTATTGCCTTTTTGGAATGTGGCAGGCTTTGTTTTAGGTGAGTTTATGTTATTATTGCTGTTGTTGGTTTTGGAAGTCTTCACGTGCTTAAATTATTAACGTTTCAGATTTCACTGTTTGTATGCGTTTGGTACTGCAATCACAGGGGCTGGAAGCTCTCTACTTGGAAAGAAGGGCGCGATGGCTTGCACAGTGGCTGTGGAAGAGAGCATATCAGACCACTATAACAACCAGATCCGAACTCTAATGGAAGAAGATCCAGAAAAGTACAAAGAACTGATGGAGGTAACTGTGGCTTAAAAAGAGCATAAGAAATTCATTGAACTTCATAATGTGACGTGGCTTTTAAAATATTGCACCAATCTGGATTTCCAGCATCTCTCTCTTCTGTTGTTTAGAATTCTAAAGTCAGTAGAAATTTTAGGATAAAAAGATGGCTCTTCCTCTAGCAGTACTAAGCCTATTGAGCAGCAAACTAAAACGTACGTTAGATTAACTTCATTTTTCAGTGCTTCATTGCTCTCCTTTTCACTGGGAGAGCTGGGCCTTAATTGTGATTACTTCTAACTGAAAGGAAGAAGTTAGAAGGGAGAAAAGGGAAAACAGTGACTACATAACCATGTCTAGCATAAGCAAAATGTTACTATGTGAGTCTAGTTTTGAACGCTGCTCAGAGGAAGGAAGGAGCTTGTGTTTGTTAGCTTTGCAAGAGAATTATTTCCCAACTCCTTTAGGTGTCGCGTTAGGATGTCCTTCTATAGGGTGTTTATGAAGGGCTGAACTGTTCTCAGATATTGCAAGTTCAGCTCATTTGTGGTAGGAGCTTACTCTACAGCTTGTGTATACATTTCTAGTTCCTTGCTGAATGTTACTCTGTTCAGCTGTGTCTAATTTAACATGCTGACAAGTTTGCTTCCATCCAAATTGTACTTGTGTTACAGGAGTAATACCTCATGGCACCAGATTGTGCTGATGTTCATGAGGAAAATATTGTCTATGAAAATAAAGGCTAGTATCTGAGTGCAAAATATAGAGGAAAGAGTTGAGTAGTAAGGTTATTCACAGTCTCAGCATGAGAAACAGTAATGAAAGCAAATTTCTTGGATGAGGACGGTATGTTCTGACCATATTATTAAGCTGTCCTGCTTATCTCCAGTCATACCAAGAGAAAATTCTTTATATCTTTTTGTCCTAGTTGGAAAAAGTAGAGGAGAAAAACACTGTTCTTCAGACTGTGCTGAAATGGGCAAAAGCTGTGTTGGGTTACAGGGAAATACCCTTACTGATTATCTGTCAAGGCAGATGCCTCAGTGTTGTTAATTCAATTGTCAGAGTAACAGTTGTAGTCATAGTGACTGACTGGTTCAACACATACAAATTTTCTTAAAATTTTTAACGAGATAGTGGTGTAGAATGGCCTGGGCTGAAAAGGACCTCAGAGATCACAGTAGCTTAGTTTTCTTCAATACTTTTGCAGAGCATTTAAGTAACTTTAGTTTTGGGAGATGATATAAATAATCCCTTTCTTGGAAGTTGAAGATTTGGAGAAGCTTCTGAGAGACCTGGGCTTGCCCTGGTGCACACAATGACCAATGGGCTGTAGTCCTATATTCAGCTGCATTGACTCTTTTGCAAAGAAGACTTAATAATTACTTGCTATTTTTAAAGATAATAAAGCAATGTCGGGATGATGAACTGGAGCACCATGACATTGGGCTTGAGCACGATGCAGAGAGAGTAAGTACAGTGTTAACTGATTGGTGCTGTTCTAATTCAAATAAAACTCCACCCTGCTAGGTACTTCTATCTTTTTGTTCTTTTTTTACAGGCACCAGCTTATTCTGTTTTGAAGACGGTGATACAGCTTGGGTGCAAAGCTGCAATATATTTATCAGAAAGAATTTAGTGCTATTTTCCAACGATGCTTGCAGTAATAAACTGTGAAACAAAATCTTTATTTTATTCAGATTTGTACAATTTTCTTAATTGAGCATCTGTTTCAACCATATCTGATTTTGTCACATTGAGAACCTGTTCAAAAAAAATCTACACTTGAGTCATTTGGGATGAATGGGAACAATGGGAGAACTGGCAGAAACTGTTCACAAGGTGGCAGTAAAATATGCACGTATTTACATACGTACTGTGGGTATGTGTTACATACATATCCACACACATCAACGTAGGAAGTTTTCCATTGCCTTCAAATTTATATATGCTTGGAGTAAGTTGGAGCTTATTAGCTCATTTTAATATCATCAATATTGAATAAGTAGGATATTTTAAAATTGTAATTGGGAAAGTAAAATGAAGCGAGCACTTCTGTTTGCTCTGCCTCGAATAAAGATTGGTGATTATAAGATTAAAATCTTTCAAGTCTTGCCAACTTATTCATTTATTTTGTCTCAGTTTTTGGATTTTTTGTTTGTCTTCCCTTGCTTGTGCTCCCTGTGTACACAGAAGTAATGAATGTATGAAGCGAGTGGAGAGAGCAGCTTGGAGCACCTGTGGAATTGCACTTCATGTTCTCTTACAGCTTTTGAGTTTATCTTCCTTTGGTTCCAGTCCTCAGTGGCACTCCGTATTGAAATTATTTTTGCATGCTTCCTGCTGATATTCTGCCTTGGAGCAGTAAAAATGCCCGAGACAGAGATCATTGTATCTGCTCTGTTAAACTCTAACCAGAGATGATAAAAATACAGCAACAGAATTGGTATGTTGTAAACCGGTAGGGATGAAAAGCATTTTCTGCATAATTGCATCTCTTGCTTGTTAGGTCTTAAAAACTTATTAGCCAACACTTAAAAGTCCCTGACAGAGACTTATATTATATACCTGGAGAGCACTGTCTTTTTATCATGCATGGCAAGGAAGACCCTATGAATAATAGTGCAGGTGACACAGCCTTTTATCTGTGCTTCTAAAACCTTGAACAGCTCAGCTTGTTTAAGTGCTGTAAGCTACCTTTTGTTTCCCAGTCTTAAAAGTCTTCCAATTTTTAGAGGTTTTGTGTGTGTGTGTGTGTGTGTGTGTGTTTTTCCTAATAAGAATAATTAACAATGGCAGATCAGAGAGCAGAACTTCTTGTGTCTTTATTTGGTAAAAGCCACAGTGTGTAAGAAGTCAATGTTTTTTTAGCCAAAGCAGTGGGGCTTAACTCAAAAGGTCAGCTCTGGAAGTGGAATGTAATGCATGTAAGCCTAGCTGAAAGGGAAAGAATTGGAAACCAAGAAGTAAAACAGTAGCTGTGTTGCCCATTACTGTCATGAGGAATGCACTCACCTCTGCTAATCTTGTATTTTACCTCATCTGGCAAAGCCATACGATTACGTACGGCCTGTTATATGGTTGTATTGAGTTTGTCTGTGTGTGAAATTTCCAGTTCTGTTGATCTGGCCAAATTCTGTGGACTGACCTTGTAGCTGCTTTGAGACCAGAGGAGGATAAGCAATGCTGAGGTGTGGGCAGGAGTCCAAGACCTGCATCTGGGGGCTTGGCAAGGGTTTGGACAGCAGGTAATCCAGTACATCTCTGATTCTGTGTTTTTTGAGGAGCTCCTTTGGTATGTGTAGCTACTGATCAGTGTCTAATTAGTCATGAAAGGATTATTTTCCCTCTTTTTGTGAAGGAGTCTAGATTGGAAACTAAGTCTTTAATGCAAAAACTCCTGTATGATTAATTACACTGGCATTTTGTAAATTGAGAATAATTTCTATCAAAACATTACAGGCCTGGCCTGTCTGTACTCAAACTGCAAATGTTATTTACACTGTCTGAACAATGTGGCATTTGGTTCTGTCTCTGACTGATCTGCCCGTCCACTGGAATAACTTCAGGAACTCAAAAGCTAAATGGCTGATTGCACAGGGGCTACGTAATAACGGGGGACCTCTAAGGGATTCTCGTTTTTCTTGTCTCTCCCCCAGACAGTTGTGAGCAATGTGCATGTCTGTGGGAATTTTTTAAAGGGAGATCATATGAAACTTAAGATGTCTTTCCGAAGTTGACCAATGCAAGTCTCAATTTCCTTGCCTTAATTGCCCTGAAGCGTTGATATGGTGGAATGTGGAAAATTCCTATATTATCTGAATAAGTATGAAAGAATGATTAATAAAAGTGGCTAATGAGGTAGCAAGTGTTTAAAGAATGCGCAATGCAGTTGTTTAAGTCATGGAGTTTAGTAATTGAGTATTAAATAATGCTAAAAAAACAACTCTGTGCCGTCAATTACTTAGGTTAGGACTGGATGCCAGGCAGTGCTGTGGCAGCTGCCCCATAGGGGTAAATGGCAGGCAGAGGCTGAAACACCTCTCTTACGCAAGTCTGTTATCTTAGTGATTCCCAGTCAACTCTGGTCTGGCTCGGGTTGTGCTGACTGAGGAAAAGGAGCCTGGTCAGACTGTTGTGCAAAGGGCCGATGGCCCTGCACGTCCAACTGTGACCCTTCAGACCCAGAAAGCTGCCTGCACGGCAGAGCTGTGTGACCTGCAGCAGCGTGGTCTGGCTGTGGGCAGTGCATGTTGGTCGTGATGCCACACTTGAGCTGGGCAAAGATCCAGCCTGTGTCTGCAGTTGATGTAATGATGCTGACATACGCTGAATGGAAGTTGTACCAGAAGTTATGTAAAATGAAGCTTGTAAGATTGTTTGGCAGAGAGCTAAATCATTATCTGAGATTATAAATATTACTGGTACAAGATAAATGCCAGACATAATGGGCTTGAGCTTTGTCTGGACTGAATCTGTGTGGCTCACTTGCTCTCACAAGAGAGAAAGGCTGGCTGCAGCTCGGCTGGGGAGATGGATTGCGTCGGGTAAAGCTTGTTGGCATGTATGTTTGGAGTTGTGAGCCAGTGTTGGGTAACGGAGTCAGCAGGTCATTGGAACAGGCTTGGTGGTACCAGGTCTCTAAAACAACTACACTGGAAGATTTTAGAAGAACAGAATGAATTTCTTAGCAGTGTGATTGTGTTAATAAAAGGCAAGTTTATTCCATATTAATAAAATATCCAATTACCATGAAGCAGGAATATATTTTTTTGTGCTATTGTTTCCAAAATTTTTCATGATATCCTTCTGTTTTATGCTGTGCTTTAGTAAATGTAACATTCTATTGGTTTCCTGCTCTTGTTCATTAGCCCTGAGTGAATGGCAGTGTAAGGATGTTCAGTAATTGATGATACATTTTTAAAATAATGTCATAACATCCAAAGGAGAGCTGTGATGGTGGGAAGGAGTCTGCAAGACAAAAGGTATGGGAGTGAGAGAGTCCCATGGTTTTGTACAGTCTAGAGAAGAGGAGGCTGTGGGAGTCGTCATGGTGGCCTGCAGCTCTTCACTGGGAGAACAGGGCAGAGCTCAGCTCTGCTTTCTGGTCTCAGTGCCTAAGAGAAACATGCTGGGGACTGCTGAGCACAAGAACAAGAACAGCATGTTCCATGGCTAGAAGCACCCAAGGCTCTGCCTTGATCTCTGTGACTGAGTCACTGACAGTGCAATAGTCATGTACTTTGTTTTTTTTTATATTCACGAACAAAGATGGATGCAGTCCCTGCTAATGGCGCCGTTGGGGCAGCCTCTTGCAGGGCCGTGAAGTGCCCCGGGCGTCGGGGTTTCATGTCGCGGCAGATAGAACAGGGGCACACGTCTTCCATGGCCAAGTCCTCCACGCTGCAGCGGGCTGGGGGAGCTGGAGATGAGAGCTTTCCCCTCGCTGCGGTGGGTGCTGCGCGCTGCGGGAAAGAAAGGCCGTGGTCAGTGGCCATCCTGGATGGGGAGCAGCAGTGTCCCCATGCTTTAGCAGAAGCCCTCCCCACCTCGTGCCTGGCCCGGCTAGTGCTCCCTGCCGGCACAGGGCCATGCTGCTGCTGCAGCTCTGGCAGCGCCGTGAGCCCCAGCACAACCCCACGGCCACCCAGGGCTGTGTTCCCGCACCGCTCACCTCCGCTGCCTCAAGCGCGCTGCCTGAGGCCCGGCTGCCTGAGCCAGGCAGGGCTGGGGAAACGCAGGCGATGCTGCGGGATGGGCATTGAGCACAGCTCCCAGAGCCCCATAGCAAAACCCGATAAAGCCTTGCTCGGTCTCCAAGCCTCGCAAACATGCTCAGCTGGCAACCAGGTACACGCTCGGCTGGGCCAGACTCTGCTGTGCCCCAGTATGTGCAGCAGATGGCTGTGAGGTCACAATCCATCGCCCGGTGGTGTCACACACCGTGATTTTGTGATACAGAGCGCTGTGGTTTGGGGCTGTCTCCAGGGAAACCTGTTCAGCCCGAGAAGGCTAGAGGAGACTCTTTATCAGGAAGGCAGTAATGGGACATGGGAGTCCTATCGCTGAGTGATAGGGCTGTGAGTTTAGAATAAAAGAGACTGGATACTGATTGGGTGTTGGGATGAACTTGTTTCCTCTGGGGGTGGCGAGGCAGTGGAGCAGGCTGCCAGGGGAGCTGTGGATGCCCCATCCCTGGCAGTGCTTAAAGCTGTGCTGGATGGGGAAAGGAGCAGCCAGCCCAGTGGGAAGCGTCCCTGACTGTGGCAGGATGGTTGGCACGAGATGATCTCTCAGGTCCCTTCCAACCCAAAGCACTCTCTGCATCTGTGAAGAGAATTCCAACCAGCCCCAGCCTCTGTTGCCCACTGCGGTACTGTGGTGTTGATGTTGGTGTTTCCCAGCAGTCACTCTGGCCTGGGCCTGCTCTTCCCAAAGCCCTGCCAGGTGCCCTGGTACCTCCCTTTTACGTATCCAGCCTCCTACTGAGATAAACAGCTTGTCCCTATTTACTTTTAGCCTCATCCATCCAGACTGATCTACAGGGATTCGCTGATGTGGTGTTTTGGACACAGTTCTGACCCCAGGTCCGCAACTCCTCACTGGGAGCAGACTTGCTGCCCATGGTGAGGCAGTTCAGCAAGCACAGCTGATGGCTCGCTACATTCCCAGCCCATGAACTGACTACTAACCATGGTTGGTTTCTGTCTTCCCCTCTTACCTACCATCCTTCCTGGTTCAGACTTTAGCAGGGAAAAAGTAACTTGCTTGAACATTCTAGAGTGACTGAAATGTGTTTTAATTTTTTAAATTATTATTATTTAAATTTCTGAATGCAGGAACTATCTGCTCTTCAAATGCTTCCAAATATCAGAGGGTTATTTGCTAATGAGAAATAATTACATCTCAATATTAAGTGACACAAGTTGTTGTTTACATGCAGTGTGGGAATCTAGCAAGATATCAGGCATATGTTTAGGGGGATTATGCATGAGAAGTGATTTCTCTTGTCAGAGCTGAGCCTTGCAAAGGAAAATGACAGATACATGTGTTTATAGGCAGACTCCAGATCTGGTTGTATTTGCTTGTCATTTCTCATAA